TTTTCCCCAAAGTTGAAAGTTTCTTTTTTTTTTTCTTTTTTTTTTTTACAGTGCACAACTACACTCCAAGAGCTGCTCACAAGATGGGAAATTGTTTGTTACCTTTAAAAGTATCTACAGCTTTTGTCTCTGACTTATATGCTGTATGTTTCTAGGCCCTAATTATTCTTTCCCTCCATCCATTATCTTACATGCTTAAGTGTGCTCACTAACAAAATACAGTACACCTGTGGTTGTTGAAGGTTCCATTACTAAAACGTATAAATGATCAATGTGAACCATAAGTCTGTATATTTAATACTATTTGTATTATTTATTTAGATTTTATGTTTTGATGTGAGCACTTGGATTTCTATCGATTTATTGAATAATCAATCAATCAATCAAATTTTATTTGTATAGCACATTTCAGCAGCAAGGCATTTCAAAGTGCTTTACATCATTAAAATGAAAACAGCATGTGACATTGAATAAACAGTGTGAAAGAGAAAGATTAAAAAAGATAAAAACATTAAAACCCGCACTCCTTTTAGGACTTCAGTTAAAAAAAAAGAAAAGAAAAATAATAATCTGAGAAAAATAATGTAGTAACTCATGATCCTTGTGGTTCTGCTTTTGTGTTTTCTGTGAATTTCTTTATTTTTTTATTAATTACTCACACACTGTCATGGGTCCTTCCTACCTATGACTTCTCTTTCATTGTTTCTTGCTATTGAAGGTTCACCAGATGACATGTAGGCAAAAAAGGAAAATTCAAAACTAATATTTAATTGCAAAACTAAATACAATGGAAAGGTAGAGTCTGTCAAGTATGAAGACCAACAGAGAGCAAGAATATTAGCAAATCTGGTGAACTATAGAGGAAGAATCAAAGAATGTATATGCAGGAGAAATAATATCAGAAAGGAATAAATAAAATTATCTTACCTAAAAGCATTTAATAAAATAACTAAGCTGAATTTCATAAAAAGTGAATATAGTTTAATTTCTTTTGACTGCAATTTTTCACTTCATGATCTAAATTTGCCATTTTGTGTCTAACAATTTTCCTCAAATCCTAATCGATTCAAGTCTGGTAAAAAAAGAAACTAACAAAGATAAAACCATCTTAACCATTGGTTAGACAAAAGGTGATGATGCATGATAGAATATTAATTAAGAAATGGAATTTCTTAATTTCTTTAATGAACGTAAATACACTTTCATTAATCCATGATCCTCGATTTCATCCTTGGATTTCTTCACGGTTTGATGCGAACTTTCAGGGAAAACTGTGATAAACCATGTGCTTTGAAGAACTGAAAAACAAAACACATTTCAACGTTGCAAAAGTCATTTAAATTCAAGTTAAATGATAAATAAATGTAGAAAGATTTAAACTTCAACAAAAGTTGGTCTCACCTCCACTAAAACATCTTCCATCTCTGAATCTGATAGTTGTGTCTGATAATTTAATTGAAGTTTCATTCTAATAATATAGGCTGTTGACACAAAAATACATAGTGATGACGTCAAAATATAACAATTTACATGGTAATTTGGAGGATTTTCAGTATAGTTCAGAAGTGAACACTGGCATAACAATGGCTTAATTATTTGGTAAAATTTTTTTTACAACTATTACCATCTAGTTTCCAGTAAGAGAGAGAAAATTGAACTAATTTTCACACAACTTTGATTGGATGGATCTCATTGATTACTGGCATTGACAGTTGATTATAAATCTTTAAAATTATAACAAATTTGGTGAATAGGCTAATTTATTAAAGGGGGAAAATAATTGCAAGCATCTTACAAATGGATTTACTTACTTGGTTCTTTAGTTGAAGGTCAAGCAGATTCCAGCACAATGATGGTTGTCAACATAAAAACAAGAATATATTGGATAAATTAACATCAAACATTTCTGGGGTCAAGAAGATTTTAACTAACATGTTTAATGAAATATTAATGCAATTACTTTCTTCAATTTATGGCAGTTATTTCCTTAAATCTGCAATAAAACCATTTGGAGCAAAATCTAATTCTTCAAGTTAAACAAAATAAAATAAATTTTTTTTATGTGTATTTTTGTCAGTGAAGTTAATATAATTAGGCAGTTTTTAAGTGAAAAGCACTTCCTGTGAAAGTCTGCCTATCTTGTGCAGCTGACTTGTAAAAGTGCGATCAGCAATGTTCAGTTTCTAACCATTTATACATTATAAGTAAATAAATAATCTCACCAAGGAAAGCTACAAGCTGTACTCCACTGCTTCTGATGCTCTCAAACACAGAGAAGAGAGTGAAAGTGTATTTGGTTCCAGGAATCAGAGATGAAACTGTCAAAAGTAATGGTTGTTGTCCAGCAGGTGGTGCTATATTCAACTCTGTTTCATTATATTGGAGGATGAAGCTTACATTGTTATTGACAACATCCCACTGCAGAGTGATGCTGGTCTCATCCTGTCTCAGTGATGTGAAGCTTTCTGCATTTTGGGGGG